GGTTGTTTTGGCTATATTACTTTTTTGTCTCATGCAGCGCACTGCCTGCGTCTGAGTAACAACCTAAAAAAAAAAATAAATAAAAAAGTGCATGTGATATTAACAGATGAACTACGCTCATATTTATAATTCCAAACAATCAGTAAGCGACAGGTGCTAGGAAACGCTGTTTTGTATTCATTTATTGACGAGTCGGCTGCAGTGCGGCCAACTGAATGCGCTGCTTCTCTGCCGCTCACTGCACAGAACAGACGCCGAGAGAGGTGACACTTCTCCGGGAAAGTCAGACCTCACGTTCGCGGGACAGCACTGGCGAAATCTTCCAACTGAACCATAGCTAAGGTTTATCCAAAAAAAGTCGCTAGGTTTGTCAGTATGAATATTCTATGGAAAAAAGCCGCTAAAAAGTTCCGAAAGTTGCTAAATAGTGCTAAAGTCGTGCTCGTGTGTGTGAGACGAGGGAGCTGATGGCAGGGGGCGGTGGATATTTGTGGTGGTCAATGTGGATATTGTGGATGAGTTCTCCTGTGTCATCACGTTCTGTTAGTTCTACAGCTTCAGTTTCGGAACTTTCACGCTTAGTAACACATACAGCTGTTCCCTCAACACAGTGCAACAGTGAAAAGGGACCCCTTTCAAACAGTGTCGCATTCCGAACGTTGTTTAAGCGACATACAATACCGGTATTGCGGTATTTTAAAAATTCATATCATAACAAAAATAAACACCGGTATTCGGTATGAACCGGTATACCGCCCAGCACTACTATCAATATAAAGTCTTTACACATATTGTTGTGGATGATGTGTGAGTAGTTGAGTAGTATCAGCTAGTCATGTGATATCAACATGACAGACGCCATGAGAGGGGTACAGACCATCTTAATTCAGAATAAAACACCTTTTTCAAGGCAACAGATATGACCGTTTCCTCTCAGTTTATATCATTTTTGTCTGAAGTCCTGTTTATTTTTTGTTTGTTAAACTTTTTTCTACATTTCTATGTTCTCCACCCATAGGTAGAGGAGTTTATCCACTCCGGGTTGCTGGCTCAGTTGTACTCCTCAGGAGATCAGTACTCTCTGATGGACGAGTCTCCTGAACAGGCCCTGCGCAGGGAGGAGGTGCTGCGTATTCACACTGCCCTGAAGGAGGCTCTAAACATCATCACTGACATTTCCACCTCTACCATCTCCACCCCGTTGCCACCCCCAGTAGATAACTCCTGGCTTCATAGTGGCTCTCTTCACCGAAGGTACCTCAGCCCTCCACTTTCTGTTCAAGATGTCTTCATCATCACTCCTCCTCATCTAGTGGTGCTGTTTTTTACTTGACCCTTAGAATTTAATCAGTACTCCGGCACATAATTAATAGCAGACCATTGGCACTCACATGGACTGAATCAACAGGATTCCAGGATATATCATGGAATTTTCACTGTTTTCCAGGCCTAGGAAAAACTGATTGAGATTAATAACAAATTGAAAGTCATAGAATTTTTTTTTTTATAAGTGCTTGATGCTCTTGTGTAGAGTAAAAGCACTAGTGTTGTCTGATGCAAACAAGTCTTTCTTTGGGGGCGGTTCTGTTCAAAGAATCGTTGAACCAGTTCACAAACCAGTCTGAATAATTTATTAGCGAATCATTCTGAATCAAAATGGTTCTTTAAAATCCATATCCAGTAACCACAAATGACTGCAAATGGAAATGACTGGTAGTGGAAATGTTATGGCCCACCCAAACAGCTAATGCGCCTCTCTCTCTCTCTTTCTCTCTCTCTCAGGTCTCCTCCAGGTTATAGTGTCCCTAAAAAGCATCCTGCTCCGCCTGCTCCTTCTCTACCAATTCGCTTGGAAGCTCCTGCCCCACCGGTCTCCAACAGCATAGACACCACCAACACTACCAGCCGCCCCAAACGAGTCCCTCCTAGTGTTCCCAGGTAGACATTCACCCATTCTGTCCTGAAGTCACACTAGCAGCTTCGGACCATGTCAGTCCATTTCAACAAACATAATTTCTGCACGCTAAAATCGCACATGTGTTCTCTCCATCAACAACACAGCTGAACAAACTTTCGATTAATAAAGTACCCAGTGACTAGTAGACTTGAATCAGATGTGTCAGCACTGAAATAGGCAGAATATTTGAAACGAACCCAGTGACCTGTAACTACACCGCATTTTTAAACAGTATTTCAACAATTTTCCAAGCTTGAAAGCTGTGGTGAACTTGTGGTTTCCCCTTTCCCAGGTTTCATCTTCTGTGAATCCATGTTGTTGCAAACTACGTATGAACCAAGGAGGTCTGTAAAGGTGTGTCACATTAGCAAAATTTTGTGTGCAAAAAGGTCAATTGTCAATAGAATAGAGGTGTTTGAAGCACTGCTCACACTGAACTTACTTTCAAACCAAGCAGCTTTTGATTGGTCACTGCGACCTGACCAGCTTTAACATGAACTTTTTTTGCCCTCAAGCGCAACTGATCTTGCAGATTTCTATGAGAATGACTGTATTTCACCCACAAAATTTTTCCAAGCAACAGTAAATGTGACCGCACCTTAATACAGAGAGAAAGCTATCCGTTAGCATTCCTATCCACCTCAATGGCAGTTCCTTGGCAGACATAGGTCCCCATGGAAGTACAGTGGGTACGGAAAGTATTCAGACCCCCTTCAATTTTTCCATTTATTAACTTAAATGATTTTAGCAAATGGCTGCAATATAACAAAGAGTGAAAAATTGAAGGGGGTCTGAATACTTTCCGTACCCACTGTATATGATCTGAAATGTGCCATAATTCCTCTCGGACCACATAAACTTTTAACTTTTAATGCAAAATCAAGAGCAAAAGAATCAAGAGTGTAAAGCCCAAAGTATACCTCAGTTTTGACTCATTCGCTTGGCGTATGTTCAGCTCAATGCATATCCTTTCAAGGTATACTCCATTTGATAGTGTGCATGAACACAGGTGCTCGACACAAATACACTAGAAAGTTTTATCCTTGTCAAGTGTCTGTGCAACTTTGTTATGAGCGATTAAAAATGTCTTTGAACTCCCTCCCACAAGCACTCGTCAACATGGATTTGTGCACAATTTTTCCTGGCAAAGGTTTATTTCTATTCTTAAAAATACAGAGTTCTGGCATGAAACTCTAGATGGCGCAGTCCGATAGGTCTAACTCAATCTGACCTAATGACATCATTATCACATGGCACAGCTGATTGGTTCTCTCCTGTATCGGTAGCCAATTAGCTCGCTGCTCAAGTGCTTGCCGTAGCAGCTGCAGCTTGCTTCAGAAATCTTCCACCTTCCCCAGCTCCACCTGTATAGATCTGCTACGAGGTGATTCATGTATGCTATATGGGGTTATTTCATGTGTTATATTTGCAGCAGCAATATTTCTTACATGCTCACAGCAGCATGTTGTGGATGTATTGGCAGTAGCTAGTCTCGGTACTTGCTCTGCCGCAGCAGCAGCAGTAGCAGTGTAGCAGATCTATTCCGCCAATACCAAATACATTAACATTGTCATGTACATTACCATGCCAATCCCTCAGAGAGTTGTCATGACAGAAATGCATTTAAACTCAATTGTACATTTATAATTATAACTTATGATCAATATTAAATAAAAAAAAAAATCAGGATATTAGAAAGTGCCCAGTTGCACGAGACCCCTTAAGTTAAGAAAGCCTATAGTTATATTTATAAGTTATTATCACTAAGGGTTTTTCTTGCTGCAGCCGGCTGCAGAGTTTCCCACTGGTAATTATGGCATTGTGGTAGCGTTCATGTGCGTTCTTCTCATAAATATGGTCATTCCAGCATGACTTTATGGCAGCATATGATTGTTAAAAAACAATTTAAGATCTGCAAGTTCTGCTATCCTTCTCAATGTTCAGATTTATGCTCGCAGTAAACACAACTAATAGGACTTTCTGTGTCCTGAGCGCGAGGCTTGTTCTTGGATCCGTTTTTAGGATTAGTCTCAAAGCAGTGCACTCAGAGAGCAGAACTCTTTGTGAAATATACGCATACCTACCTTCACAAGCATGATAGATGAGACCACGTGCTCACTGGTCCCAAAACTACAGCTCTAGATCACAGACACTGCTGTCTCCACTCACCATGAACATATGGTCTTGAGCGTAAAGAAAAAAAAAGAAACTTGAACTTGAACAGATGTCATTGCTCAGTCACACAGGCAAGCAAGCATATTTACATTTGAAGGCTTTTAAAAATCACACAAATTTTCAAGGAGCAGTGAAAGTATGTACTGTAAAGTAATCTCACACAAACAGTCAAGAAATGTCAAAATCATATATATTTCACACCCCAAGAAAGATATAGTAAATTTACATGTAATGGTAGTGTTTGTGTACTTTTTGTATTGCCTTTATAATGATTTTAATGCACAAAAATCATGTTGTTTGGATGATTTCAATAGTATTAGTAATTAGAAATAGATTTTTTTTGCATTTTTAAATATTATTTAAAGATTTATTTCATAACTAATTATTGACGTTACATTTCTGTTGGTATAACTTTATATATAACTTTATAATTTTTACAACGTAAAAATTTCGTTGTACAATGACAATAAAAAGCTATTCTATTCTATTCTATTCTATTCTATTCTATTCTATTCTATATATCAACCAATTGATATAAAATATTAATATATATTATACTATTAAATGTCATTTTAATATTTTAATGCATTTTTTATAATATTCTCTTTATAGGAATAAGATGTCAACAAATTTAATTGTATTTAATACAATTTTAATTTAAATAATAAACTTATTAAAATTGATATTACATTTATAAAATTATTTGTATTATATAACTTAAAGATTTAGTGTGTATACATGAGTATAAAATGAGCAAAAACTATTTTATATATTTTAATTACAATTTTGATTTTTTTGTTTAAATACAATTTTATTAAAATATTGTTTTTAAAAATTGTTTACATAAATGTATTATTTAATTTTTTTTATTTTATATTGTAATTTGATTACAATATTTTATGTATTGTTTATAATTCTCTTTATAGTAATGAGAATAAGTTGTCATAATTCATACAAACTTTAATGATGCTAAAAATAGGCTTCACTTCCTTTTTGCTCAGAGTATAATTTTTTTCTGTGGATTTTGGTGAGAAATGTGATCCACGTGTCTCTCACGTCACTTGAGATGGGTGGAGGTCTTGTTGAAAATGTGTTTTTCATATTTGATTCCCCATTTTCAGCACAGACAGTCCCTATTCTCTTCCTCTGTCCTCTCTCACTCTTTTTAGCTCTCGTGTTGTTGGATTTCACAGTCTAAACACATGAAGACTTCTCATATTTCTTACAGGTTTTTGATTATTGTGTTTTGTGGATATCTGGTATGTCTCATATTTCATATGAACAAGAATAAACCAACCCAGAAGCATGGCCTCATTAAAGGAGCGCTGAGGGTTACGGTCAATTTCCTGTTCAAACCGTCATATCAGTATTCACAAACTGACCGTATCTTTTCCTTTCTCACCATTCCAGTGGCGTTCGCTTCTTTCAACACTCGCTTCGGTTTCTCCCTCGTGATTCTTTTTCTCGCTCTCTCATTCCTTACCTTCACTTTTTGGCCATTTTCCCCCTTTCTTTTCTGCCTCATTTCCTTTGTGTTCAGAAACGGGTCTGTTTGGACCTCCACCCTTTTTCTCCTGCTTTTTCTCTCTCTCTTTCTCCCCCGTCGCCCCTTTCTCTAGTTCTCCTACTCACTTTTTCACATTTCCTCTCACCATCACTCATCCCAACTCTCCAACTTTCCCTCTCTTTCCTTCCACCCCCATTCCCCTTGTCTTTTTTCTCCTTCACTTTTTGCAGAACTCATTTGAACCTCGTGCTGTTGTCTTCAGCGCGACCCCAACCAGAACAGGCCTTGCGGACAGTGACAGAATTTGAAGACCTATGCAGCATTTCTGGGCGCTAAAACGGCAGTTCTGAGACGCCACCAGCATCTCATCAAGCAACGTTCCTCTCTCGCACCTCATCCACTCCTCCAATCACACATTCTTGTACTTTTAACTTCAGCGTTTCTTTCTGTCTTCCAGTAAACCCCTGGCATTTCCAGGCTGCAAGATCTCGCATGTTTCCTCAAGCGTTGTTTTACTTTTCTTTCCGTCGTCTCCGTCCTTTCTTTTTCTTTCTGTGAAACCGCAGTCCTGCATTCACCGCAGCACAGGAAAAATAAAAGCCACTCTCTTCTCTCTCCCATCCCAGAGAGCTGCTCCCTCTGCCAGCTCCATTAGAGAGTGAGATTCCTGCGTCTCCACAGGGATCTTTCCAGGACCAACTCTGCAG